CTGATCTGATTTACTAATACAATATTGCAATTAAGTATTTATAGTTACTTCGATATTTCGGGAAGCATTTATGCCATCTCCTAATCATAATAGGAAAACAAGTCATCAAAATTCAGAAAAATATATAACATTGCATTTTCCTCATTAAGGAAATGAGAAAAGAAGCCATAAAAACATAGCCCATAAAAAAGCACACATAAATAGAAGACACCTCATAATTCACATGAATTTAATTCATAAAATACATAATTTTTTCTTTTATTTGGGGAAAGGGGGATTCGAACCCTGCTCTTTGAACAAGGAGACCATGTACCAATCAATGAGCCAAATGCTCGGATGTATTAATAATGCATACTTTTAAAAACTTCTTTAATGACATTCCTAAAATACCAAACTCCATTTATCAACGGGTGAAAAAGTCAAAAATGTACTTAGCAATTGGAGATTCAGATTATACAATCTCATACTCTGATCTGATTTACTAATACAATATTGCAATTAAGTACTTATAGTTACTTCAATATTTCGCGAAGCATTTATGCCATCTCCTAATCATAACAGGAAAACAAGTCATCAAAATTCAGAAAAATATATAACATTGCATTTTCCTCATTAAGGAAATGAGAAAAGAAGCCATAAAAACATAGCCCACAAAAAAGCACACATAAATAGAAGACACCTCATAATTCACATGAATTTAATTCATAAAATACATAATTTTTTCTTTTATTTGGGGAAAGGGGAATTCGAACCCTGCTCTTGGAACAAGGAGACCATGTACCAATCAATGAGCCAAATGCTTGGATGTATTAATAATGCATACTTTTAAAAACTTCTTTAATGACATTCCTAAAATACAAAACTCCATTTATCAAGGGGTGAAAAAGTCAACTGAAAATGAGAAAAGAAGCCATAAAAACACAAGCCATAAAGAAGCACATATAAATAGAGGGCACCTCATAATTCACATGAATTTAATTCATAAAAATACAAAAAAAAATTTATTTGGGGAAGGGGGATTCGAACCATACTCTTTAAACAAAAAGATCATATGCTAACCAATGAGCTAAATGCTCGGAGGCATCATTATGCATACTTTCAAAAACTTCTTAAATGAAATTCCAAAAATACCAAAAACTCCATTTATCAAGGACTGAAAAAAGAACTGAAAACAAGAAAGAAGCGATAAAAACATATCCCATAAACACGCACACAGAAATAAACGACACCTCATAATTCACGTGAATCTAATTCATAAAAATACATAATTTTTTTTTATTTAGGAAAAAGAGGATTCGAGCCCTACTCTTTGAGTAGGGTGATGATGCCTAAATCAATGAAGCAAATGCTGAGTAGCATCATAATGCATACTTCTAAAAACTTCTTCAATGAAATTCTTAAAATACCAAAAACTCCATTTATCGAGGGGTGCAAGACGTCAACCGAAAACAAGAAAAGAAGCCATAAAAACATGACCCATAAAAATGGGCACATAAGTAGAAGATACATCATAATTCACTTGAATTTAATTCATAAAAATACATAATATTTCTTTATTCGGGGAAAGAGGGTTCGAACCCTGGTCTTTGAGTAAGGAGATCATACACCGATCAATGAGCCAAATGTTCAAGTGCATCATAATTCATAGTTTTAAAAACTTCATCAATGAAATTCCTAAAATACCAAAAACTCCAATCAAGGGGTGAAAAAATTCAACTGAAAACAAGAAAAGAAGGCATAAAAGCATAAACTATAAAAAGGCACCAATAATAGAAGACACCTCATAATTCACATGAATTTAATTCATTAAAATACATACTTTATTTTTATTAAGGGGAAGGCGAATTCAAGCCCTGTTCCTTGAATAAGGAGATCATGTACTAATTAATGAGCCAAATGCTCGGCTGCATCATAATGTATACTTTTAAAACTTCTTCAATGAAACTTCAAAAATACCAAAAACTCCATTTATCAAGGGGTAAAAAAAGTCAACTGAAAACAAGAAAAGAAGCCATGAAAACATAACCCATAAAAAAGCACACATAAATAGAAAACACGTCATAATTCACATGAATTTAATTCATAAAAAAATACATACTTTCTTTTTATTTGGGGAAAGGGGATTTGAACCCTATCCTTTGCGTAGGGAGATGATGCACCAATTAATGAGTCAAATGCTTAATTGCGTCGTAATACATACTTCTAAAATACTTCTTCAATGAAGTTCGTAAAATAACAAAATTATCATTCATCAAAGGTGAAAAAAGTCAACTGAAAACGAGAAAAGAAACAATAAAAACATGGAAAAGCACGCATAAATAGAAAACACGTCAAAATTCACATGAATTTAATTTATAAAAATACATACTTTATTTTTATTTGGAGAAAAGGGGATTCGACCCTACTCTTTGAGCGGGAAGATCATGCACCAATGAACGAGCAAAATGCTTGGATGCATCATAACACATACGTTTAAAACCTTCTTCAATGAAGTCCATAAAATACAAAAAATTCCATTCATCAAAGGGTGAAAAAAGTCAACTGAAGCACTACATTGTTAAAAGAAAGTTAGGTCAACCAAAAAAACATAATGCTCATGAAACAAGAGAATGAGCTAAGAAGCATGTGCATGATCCATAAGAAAGCATCGAGACATAGGAAAAACCCATATAATTGACATCGATTAGTTCCAAAAAAAATGCATGCTTTTCACAAATTCTCCAAAATTCTTAGATACTTTCAAGTTCCCACGCCCCATGGAAAAACCATTTCCAAGTCGAATTTCTTAAGTTCCTCACTTATCTTCCTAAACTGCCCAACACCCCATCCGCACCCAACAAAAAGAAAGTCAACTTCACCATTACGATAAAGATAAGAAACGAACATTTCAACAAAACAATCATATGCCTATGACAAAAAATAATGAAACCAACCAAAAAGAAACAAAAAAAAAAACACTTTTTATACTAATATACAATCTTAAAAACAAAAAGCATATTACTTTGTTCTAATAACTTCCCCTTATAATCTACTGAAAAGAAACAAAATTCACAAACTTTACAGTAAAAAGTTACAAACTTCGAACTTCTTCTACAATTCCATGAGTACCCAACACCAAAATTACACAAATAAACCCAAATTCACTAAAACAAAAACCAAAAAGAGGGGAAAAAAAAAGAAGTAATTCCCAAACCTTTTAGCTCTCTTTGGGTCAACAGTCCACAATTCAGCAAGCTTATCAGGAGCCATAGCTTTCTTAGCTTCAATCGACTCCATCATCGAGCACCCATCAACCGAATTACTATACCTATGCCTTCCTTTCCCTCCTCCAGTACTCTTCTCCCCCATTCCCGACCCGCCACTCATTTCCTCTCCTCCTTTCGGGTTCTGACCCGACCCAGCACTCGAAGATCCGGCAGCAGCCCCTCCTTCGTCCGCCACCTTGGATGATCCACCCAGCTTCTCGATATCCATGTAACTGCAAAACAAGTCGTCCTCGGATCCCAGACCTTCGAACGGGTCCGATACGAGATCCAAGTCGTCTGGGATACGAAATTGGACTTCCGACTGTGCTCGCCTGTGGTTAGAACCTCGGAATGTGGTTGGGTTGGGGAAGGTGGACGACGCATTGGAGTGAATTGGCGGATCCGGATTGGGACTCAGGCTCGACGGATCCGGCATTTTGGTGTTGCTTCTCAGATTCAGATCTCAGGTAGAGAAATGTGAGGGAAAGAGAGCTGACTGTCTGTCCAAATTAAAATCTTTTCTCCTTTCTTAGCTTTCTTTGCTCTTCCTTCCTAATAAAAAAGAGCGTTAACATGGAATGAAATTTAATACCAAAACGACCTCGTTTTGTCACTTCACTAAGATGAAAAATATTTCATTTTATTTTTTTTCTTTAAATAGAAAACAATGAAATTTTTGAAAAAAAAAAATATTTCGATTTGAGTTCCATTTAATAATCGAAAAATTACTTGTTCAAAGAAAATATTTTTTTATTATTCAAATAAATGATCAATAATTTATTAATTTATCAAAATTTTCATTATAAATTTGTTTTCATTTTTATTTTTTCGAGATATCTTGAAATTTAAAACTTAATATAAAAAACATATCAAAACAAAAAAACTTCATCTTAATCTCCCTAAAACCCGAAGACATTGCTGAAGTATTACTACTAGTGAAGTGAAGCAGTATCTGTGGGACTAATAATGGCAGTGTGAGACATTTGGAAAAAGCTGCAACCATGGGACATGTTGCCTATGGCCTCAGATAACCTTCACATCCATTGCTTTCTTCACATCAAAGATTTTCAATACTGTACAAGGAGTATCAAGATTTTTTCAAAAAAGAATAAATGAGAAAGACATTTTCAATGAATAGAGAAGAGATGGATAACACTGTAGACATTGACATCGTCACGAGATGATAATAATAATTCAGATTTGATTTAACCATTGTTTATCTCTTTTTAAAAAGTAAGGTTTAAGATCCGAATCCTCTCATCACCCATATTTTTTTTAATAGTGAAATGGCAGTTTACTGTTTATGTATCAGTGTTCAAAGTGTATGACTCTTTTGTACAAGGGAATGACTAGAGTAACCATAAAAAATTGGTGATCTTGTGTTGATAATTATCTAATCCAACAGTCATCATCAAGTGGAAACATCTCAAATCCAATCTAATAGATAGATGGAGAGATAAAATGCAACATGCTATGTGTTTTTCAGAATGTGGATAAGCATTTGCGGATGTTGTTGGCATTGAAATTTGATAGCTTTCTGCTGCTGGATGGTCCTCTTTTTCTCTTCACCTACTAAAGCTATTGATGTTATTGTGAGGTTAGCCAAGAGTAGTTGAGAGGCATAACAACATGGGGTTAAAGAATTGATGGAACATGTAGGGACGGACCATTGGAACTGTGGATCAGATGGGGATGCAGTGTTAGACAAGTGTTACGGTGTGTGAAATCGAGGGTCCACATTAGACTCCAAAGGCAGGGCTTAAGACAGTGAACTCGACCGACACATGTGGACCGAGGAGCTCCTCCTAGGTGGCCAAGGAGATAGTGCCTTCAGTCACATGATCTCCATGTGCCCCCCAGTCTTTCTGTCAACAATGTAGTTTCACAGGTGTCTCTGCAAACATGAACATGTCTCCATCAAAAGGCAGACACTAGGATTAAAACCAGGGAGGAAATTGCCTTTGGCATCTGATTTGAGATGAAGTTTTGGCAGCTTTTGGGGCCATAACCAGGGTAAAAAATTGCTGTAGTTTTTTAACAGCATGGTAGATGCCTCCAATTTGTTTCTTTATAAGCTATCACAATCATTACTTGGTAGAAAAAACAAAGCTTTGCTTATCAAATTCATATGGTGAAAGCTGTAGTATCAGATTAGAATACATTAGATTTTTCTGCAGAAGCATAAACACATTGCCATTATCTCAAATATAAAAGGGATGCAAAGATGAGCATAGGTTAAAGTGAATAATCGAATTGCTTCACCTTTTAATTGCAGGAAGAGTGGGAAGGGATTTGGTGCTAAAGAATAAGCATTTTTTTTTACTCTTTTCTCCATAAACTAATTGCATTTATGTGGGATCAGGTGCCATAATCAAAAATTCCTTAGCCACCCTTTCCTTTTTCTACTTGTTTCTCAAGCCCAATCCTTGTGCCTGTCATTTTAATCTTTCAATAATGATATTGCAATGAAAAGACATCAAACAAATATCTATCTTAATTATATGTGTCCATTTGGTGCTTGGTATCTCCTCCCATCTGTAAACCAATGCCCTTTCCTCCATCCAGAAAAAGGCTATCAGCACCTTGATTACCCCTTCATATGTAGTCATCCCCTATCTCATTCCAGGACTATTTAGGTACAATCTGATCCTCTCTGTGTGAGTTCCAAGCAAAGAATTTCCAACTACTTCTGCTAGAAATTAGTAATCAATAGACCCTGGTAAGCCCAAATCATTGTACTCATAATCCAAATCATTTTCTACAATCCTTTTTGCTTTTTCCATGTATGGTGGTGATGATCTGATGGAGAAAGGAGTTAACAGGGTTATGGACTCTTTGTGGTTTTGGAAGCCATAAATTCTTTTGCACTCACCCTTTGATGTACCATGAAAGCCCTTTCTTTCTTTACTTTAGTTCCCAAAGAAGATGCTTTTTTTGGCTGTCTTTATCTAGTTGGAATCGTGACAGACATAACCATAACTCAGAGGCCCATATCTCTCCTTAGTTGAAAGCTGATGAACAAGAACCAAAAGAAAGAAAAGCATAAGCCCTCACTTTGATGTTTCCCATCACTCCACTTTCTCTATATATCAGCAGCAAGTGAAGCTTCAGCCTTTATTTCCCTCAACCACACATCCTTGCATAGCACGCTGAGACTCAGGGAAGTTGAAGCAAACAAGCAAAGGATATAGTTTTTTCAGCCAATGAGAGAGATGAATTCTCTTCTTTCAGTGTCCTTTGTGGTTCGATTCACAGAAGAAAGAACTGGGAGCAAAGAAGTTAGAAGCTTCTATGTCTAAGTTCATCAAAGAGGCTTAAAAGACAACATCCCAAAATTCAAAAGGGTAGTAGAATTTTCAACTCTTTCTATAGGCTTTTGGTGCTTGCCAATTGGTGATAGAAGCTGGAAATAGCAATGGTGACTCATTATCACCGTCCACACCGCCTTCTCCTTGACACACAATCAAGCGCGTCACCAACAAATGGAAACAGAACACGCAGCTCTTTCTCCAATGAAGCCAATTTCGACACCAATATGGTGATCATCCTGGCAGCTTTGCTTTGTGCACTGATTTGTGCCCTAGGACTAAACTCCATAGTGCGTTGTGCTTTGCGTTGTAGTAGAAGGTTTGCTTTTGAGACCCCAGATGAGACAGCAGCACGTCTAGCTGCAACGGGCCTGAAGAAGAGAGCATTGCGCCAGATTCCTGTGGCCGTATATAGTTCAGGGATAAATATAAAGGCTACAGATTGTCCAATTTGCCTAGGAGAATTTATTGATGGTGAAAGAGTCAGAGTTTTGCCAAAATGTCACCATGGTTTTCATGTGAGGTGTATAGATACATGGTTGCTGTCACACTCATCCTGTCCTACTTGCAGGCAATCATTGCTAGAGCAGCCAACTAGTTCTGATGCTGGTGCAGAGATGGAGGCCGGAGTCCAGCAACATGGGAATTCACCAGGAGGACAATCTGATGTTCCAGTTGCAGCAGATGAGGTTTAATTGATCCTGGTTTGAAAATAGTTCTCCACCAGATGAGAAAGCGGGCATAGAGTAGCTTTGTTAATGTTATTTGGCACTTTCTAAGTTGGTTTGTTTATGTATATGCATAGAGAGAAATATTGATTGCCACTGAATTGCAAATGAAAAAAGAATTTCTGAGGCTTGCTGTTTCCTCACATGCTTTGTGTTGGGAGATGGAGAATGTCTCCAGAGGGCTAGAGGATTATTGCTTTTTCCATGATTACGGGCAAAATGTCTACCAATCCATGTCCAATTGTATGTGATGAGTCTATTGGGAAATATAGTTGATGCACCTGTTTCAACCTTTGTATAGAAAGAAGGAATGTTATGCTGATGAAAAACTCTGATATTTTTGTAAGGAGCAGAATCACTCAACAAGGAGTTGGATAGTTTGATAGAAAGTTTCCAGATGTACCTGCAAATGAAACAGAACAGAGAGAGACCTCCTTAATTGCAGTCTGAACAGTAACTTTCTCCTACTTGCTTAATTTCAATTTCAGAATTGGTCTCTCAGATGTGGCCTTTCAACACACATAGAATGTGCCGCCAACTAGTCAATGGTTACAGGTGAAGTGGCCATTCAAAAGGAAACCAGTTCTGGGGTTTTGATTCCTTTGCTTGAGTTACATCCACTACAAAGCATCTATGCACTTTGCAAGCAAGCAAGCCCTCGGTGTCTAATTCTTAGCCTCAGCCCACATGACATTTGAACTGCTGTCATGCTGATGCAATATATATCTAATTCAGCAATTAGCAGTGATGTTCAAAAGTCATTTCATTTACCATTGGCTTCTGTAATTTTAGAGTACAAAGGGATCTTTCCTTTCAGTCAGTTTTTATGCCTCAACTCTTCATTGTCTTACTCTATTACCCAATTTTACACTTATGGATGCCTCAAAGAGTTGGTCCTTAGTCAAATAAAGGAATTCATTGGAAACAAATATGTTCTAGCTTCTGATTAAATGTTCTTCCTTCCTTTTCTTGGTTTGAATATAACATAGGAGCTTGGTTGCTTATAGAAACAAAACAGGAATGCCAAAGTAGGGTATCATTTCTCAAGCACTCAAATCACAAAACAAAGTGTAATGGGGATGGTGCACTTTAGACATATGGAAACAAAAGGAATCAACAATATGTGCTTATAGAATGGAATCTCAATTCTTCAAAAACTCATCTTTTTTTACAACCTCTTTCTTTACTGCTATGGTCTGTGGGCCTTGATTTTCTAGTCCCACACAAGAAAAAAATTCACTCATATGCACCACACTCCAATATTATCTTAGTATTGAGGATACCTGCAGGGTGATGAGGACATTTTTCCAAGGGCATCATTCATAATTGGACCACCCTCTTCCTTGACCTTGTTCATCTATGCCTATCTGTAAGATTTTTCCTTGATTCGAAGGATTGCAGCATGGAATTTTCCTTGGTCACTTGCCAAGCTTGGGCTGTATTTGCTTTATATATACGTGTGTGTATACGCGCATGCTGATACGAGGACAAAAGTATCACTGTAGTACAAAAGTTTGTCACGGAAGCATCCAGTTGGAGTGCTAGAAAGGCAATCTAAAGGAATTCAAATTGCCAATGGAATCTTTTGAATAATTGAATGGCCTTAACCACTTGGATTAGTGGTTTTAATCCTGTAATCAGGTCAAAAGCCTCCATTTAAAACAGCTGGCTGAAGATCTGTTTGCATTCAATCTTGCGGTCGAGATTCAAGTAGGAGGAAATGTCAGGTTTTTTGGACAAAACTTACATGGAAAGAGAATCTCCCAAAGGAGAAGCCGTGTTGTTCAACTATGCCTGGCCATTTCTTTTCGGGTTAATTTGCAAAAGGGTGTCAATGAGTGATCTTATCCTTGGAAAGTCACTGTTGTTGATTGTTCCTCCTGATCTAATCAATGAAAATATGAGGTACAAGTTTGGTTTTACTTCTACTTTTCTAGAGATGCTAAGATCAACGTTAACAATGTTTGATTCTAACGCCAGTTGCGTATCATTTATAGCTTTACAATCTGAATCTGATCTCCTTTTACAACTCTTATCAAAGATTGCTTTCTTCGTTCCGGTGGGGGGAATTTTGCTTTTGGTAGGAGATGAAGGCAGGGATGCAGGGAATTCATGCAGAAGTTACTTGCTTTACTTTCTCTTTTTATATATAGGCAACTTCATGAACTTCTTAACAAGTTAATACTTCATTTTCGATCAATTCGATTAATTTTCACAGCACATTTGATTAAAATTCGAATAGAATTAACTGTTTACACAACTTTATCAGAGTCTCTCCTAAAGAGAAATACATGTAAAGGGTATACTAGATTGAAGCAGTGATTCTTGATAGAAATATGGTGAGGGCATATTGTTTATGGCATATGGTTCCTTTAGGCAATCAAGCTTATCAGATAAAAGATGAAATCAAATTCTTTTACACTCTTTTTTTCTTTGTTTCAGTCATGCAGTCAAAGGAAATTGAGTTCTAAAATTGGCAAAACTCCAACTTTCACATCATAATTTTATTGGTACAAAGAAGCACAACAAACAGGATCATTCTAAAGCAACCTTCCAGGGAAGGTTGTGAACTTATAATTAGACAAAATAGGCTCATTTGCATAACTGGGCAGAGAGGGCATTAGCTAAGGAGGTTATGGTAGTAGCGGACACTCCCCTTGTTCCTCCCAAGTACCATTTCTTGATCATCTCAACCACATTGGCATTCTCCACTTTGATTTTCGCTTCCTCCTTCCCCTCGGTAGTAAATGCAATCTGCACATACACACACACATACACTATTGGTACAGGAATGATTGATTTTTTAAGGAGAAAACATTACTCGTAAGCTTCAAGATATACCTCAGCAGTGCATGAATTTGCAGGAAAATGGTATGTGATGATCGAATTCTTCTTGAAATACTTAGACTGGAAGAATTCGACAAGTTTCTCCAAGGCTTCTTCCTCTTCCTCCTCGTACTTATCATCCGCTGCCAATCTGTCCCTCACAGCACTCTCCAGCTGCACCCCATATTGGGAACCTTTGATCTCCTTAATCACCACAACTCTCAGAAATTTCTCCACTGGAGCTGCAGGCAGCATAGAATTAAAGAAAGGGATTACAATAGTTCTTGAAACAGATTGCAATGACAATCTCTTGAATAATGGGAAATTGAGTGTTATGTACCATTAATAAGAGCCTCGAAGAAGTCATCATCTTCTGCTAGCACGTTTCCAGGTTTTCCCTTCCATTGTTGTAAGTGTCCTGCAACTTCAGGTTCAAGGTAAACTCCAATTGCTGTGAACTTGATTTGGAGAAAGTGAATCTCAATGTCAGTAATTCCTGCAGCAGAGCCCCAACAGAAGGTCATTAGACACAGGACATTCATGTAGGAACAAAAAGGTACTAACCTCAGACTGTTTCTCAGACTTTTAATTTGTTTCAAGGAAAAGAAGTACTACAGGATAGTGAGTAAAATTCTTACCATAACCTAGAAGGGACAATGGCTTGGTAGTTGTGATTTGTGGGGGGAAAGGGATTTCATCAACCATTACCATTTCAGTACCCACTGCACCAAATCCAAAAATGAAAAAAAAACAGCAACTCTTCATTAAGAAAGAAGAACAAATGGTATAATCAAAGCAGCACTAAATTGAAAGAAAAACCACTTACTACTTATCTTTGCAGGAGATTGAGAGCTAAATTAGTCAAAGAAAGCAATGATCAGGAGGCAAAAGCTGGTTCAGGTTTTCCTTTTTCTATAAGGAATGACAAAGCTGAAGAGTGCTGCTGCCTTTATACCAATGCATTAATGTTAGTACCAATCCTCACTGACATACCATTAGCATAGCTAACACTCCATGCTTCTGTAAGTCTTGGGATAGCAAGAGGGTGGTAGGTAAGGGAAGTTGAGAGCTTGTGATTCATCTCATTTTCTCCCATTTGACTTGCAATTACTACATTCCCACTTATTCAGTACTCTACATATCATGGTTTTGAGAATTTTTTATTTAATTTTGTACATTCAACTATCATATGCACATGAATACTGAATTTTTCAATAAAATATTTAACAAGATTAATCGAAAAAATCCACATAATATAATTACGGTCATTTTTATTATCTTTTCGAACACTTTTTAAAATTAAGGAGATAAAATTGGGATTTTGATGGACTATAATCTTCTCTTTACCTAACAAGTAATGGCCCTATATCATTAATTTGGCTTATGTACAAAGTTTAGCAGAATTTGTGCTGCTGCTGTTCATGTTACAACATTTTTTCTATTTGAGGGAATTCAGCTACCAACGTGTGATGCTAACTACCTTTCATGTTACCTACCCCCTTTTTGATCCTAGTTTTAATCATCAGTTGGTGGCAGCTTGTAAGAAATCAGCTACTAAGACCCTTGCCCTTTGACTCCGTCAATAGGCAATCACTATTCTTTTTCTAATTCTAGTGTTAATCAGCCTCTTTTTAAGTGATTAATCGAATTAGATAGGTTAATTCAATTAATAATAGAATTAATCAGAATTTTTTTATAATATTATTATATATGTTACAATTTATAAATGATTTATATACAAATCGATTAATTGGTTAATTAAAAAAATTTAATATTGAAACAGGTCAAATTAATCGATTTAACAGTGATTATTTTCGGATTAATTGAATTGTTTTAACTAAATTTTTTTGATTAATTCGATTTTAATAGAAAATTGCTCAACTTTACCTAAACTTGGCCTAATAATAATTCCTGCTTTGTCTTATGGTCTTTCCTTGTCAAAATGTACCAAAATATTGAGTGGGGCAGAAGGCTTTTTCATAAGCTACTAGCATTCACAAGCATTTTGTCAGGGCAATGGAGATTTTTTTGATGCAATAATAAAGTTTGAAAGTGACTGTTGCTACAGATCAGGTCCACTTGAAACAAAAGCATTTCATTCAAAGAGAACAAAAAAAAATTCAGATATCATACATTAGTTGAATGAATCAAGACCATAAGGGATAGGTACATGAACATTTGATCTAGTACATGCATCACTTTCCATGATGCTTGAACACTCTCCATTGCATCCTGGACTGATCAGAGTTGTTTGTTTTCCAGGGCTTTTCTTACCATTTATTGCAGTACACTGTAGAGAGCAGCAGATATGGGCATGGCAAGGACTTGTGTCATACAGAAAATTGTAATCAAAATGATTTGCATGATCAAATGTCATTACATTTTTTTTGAAAATGGAGAGTGTTTCTTTCATTCCCTTCTCTCTGATAGTAATTTATAGCACTCTGGTTGTAGGTTTTTGATATCTGAATTTGATTGCTTGACATTGACAATGGCTCAAAGGGCATGTTGCCTAAGGAAATGCATACCTTCAGGCGAGCATTCAAGATCGATCCCTAGTCCAACATGTTTCTTAAGGTGGCGTTTGATGTTTTACCATTTCATCATGATTTCAATAGAACGTGACCGTTGAATAACATTATAGAGTTTGGTTTCTTTGAATTCCTTGGAACTGTGTCAACTGTGATGTGAACGTTTTGCACCATAATACTAAGGAACTAATTAGTCAAAGCTTCTGTACTTAGTTTCAATAATCATTATTTCTTTCTTAAACTAAATTGCAAATTGCATGAAAGTTTTTACTAGGCACAATCATTAAATAATTTGATTTTTGTTGTTACTTGTTATACTGAGCCTTTTTCCTGTGTATAGGAGAATTTGAGTTTTTCTGGTGGCTAAAGAAGGGAGCAGTGGAAAGTTTAGGAGTATGCATAGGGAAGGCACAACCTTTGAGGCTTTGATATCCACAGATGATAGCAGGTAAAATAGCCTTGGTTTAAGGTTGACACCATGAAAACATACTTGAGTTTTCAGATTAAGTTTTTGCAAGTTTTAAAGCATACATAAAAACAGGTGACACAGATCATCCATGGTATCATACAGATATGTTGTTCATGATGAACCCGTAGCTTATGTTATCTGATGATCTTATGCTTAGGTTGTTTATATTAATTGCAGTTGCTGAACATAGTTTATCTACTTGAAACTACAGGAAAACCATGTCTGCTGAACTGCAGTTAATATTACCTTTTCATTAGCCTATGCTGATTGGAAAACTGGCCATGGGGTCGTTGACATGAAATTTTGAATGAATATTCTTTAAACAACATTTTTTAAGCAAATAGATAATTGTTATATCAGAAGAATATGTTGCTGACTTTTGGGGTTGCCAATCAAAGGCGCCCCCTTCCTTGTCCTAAACTAAACCAATATGAACCAGCGAATGGACATCCTGCAAGCAAGCTCTTTGACTTTGTGTGGTGAATACAATAATAATTAGTCAGTTTCTTGTTTCGGTTCTGTCAGCCAAAGCAAGAAGCAACGAGTTCTTTTTCTTTAAACATGTAAAATACAAGCATGTGAGTACAAGAAGATGTTTGCTTCTCAAATTCTTTGTCTCTTGGTTTAAAGATCCTAGTAAAATGTGCAAAGACTTTAAATCAGTAGCTCTATTCAATCAGGCTTGTAACACTTGCAATGGAAGTCCTGTTTAAGCTTAAAGAGCTTTGTTCTGAACTCAATTGAGCGATAACCATTATCTTGATAACCCTGGTAACTGTTTCTTGCATACTTTAAATTTAGAATCTTCCCTCTTTCAGGTAAGAAACTTCCTCTAGGGTCACTGGGACTTCCACTCATTGGGGAGTCCATAAGCTTTGTCAGGGCGCATAAACATGATCAAACTGTCGATTGGATTCAAAAGCATGTAAACAAGTATGGACCAGTATTCAAGACCTCACTCATGGGTTCAAATGCAGTGTTTTCGACTGGCCAAGCTCGTAATTGTTTCATATTCAGTGGGAGAGACAATGGCATTGCGAGCAACCAAGTTGGAACTGCAGCAGGCATACTTGGAAAGCACAGCATCTTTGAGCTTCCAGGGCTTTGACATAAGATTGTCAGAGGTGCAATATTGAGCTTTTTGAAACCTGAAAGTATCCAAAGATTTGTTTCTGCAATGGATTCATTAGTCCAGCAAGAAATGTTCCAAGTAACGATCCAACATCTATAAGATACATCAGTTTCAGGAGAAGCCAAAACATTTGCCATCTATCTGAAGTAGATAAAATTCAAGAAACAGCCAGTTTATTTACTCTCTTAATCTTTTCTTTTTCTCTTCTGAGAACAGGAACTAAGCGGTACAGATACAGTTAAAATGGTGACACTAATAAAAAAGATCACTTTCAATGTCAGCTGCAGTTTACTCTTCAGATTACAAAGCAAGGAGGAAGATTATCTGTTTGAAGATTTTATTGTTGCCATCAAAGGTTTATGGGCTATCCCATTAAAATTTCCAGGGACTGCATACCATAAGGCATAGCAGGCACAAGGCAGAATATCTAGGCTTCTCTCCAAACTAATAAAAGGAAGGAAGAAGGAAATAGACGAAGGGAGCAAAGGCTCTTTAGATGACAATGATCTTATCTCCAGTCTGCTTATCCTGAGAGATGAAAATGGTGATCCATTACTAGAGGAGGAAATCATAGATAATGTGATCTCTGTAATGATTGCTAGCCATGATACAACATCATTATTCATCAGCCATTTTATGAGAAAACTTGCAAGGGATACCGAGGCTTTTGCTAAGGTGCTTCAAGGTAGTGGCTAATTATGGTTTGCTTGAACTGTTTGATTCAACTTTGATTATTGGTAAATTGTTCTTTTTCATTTTCCCATTTTTAGCTAATTCACTAAATTGCTTATGAGTAATTGCATCGTTATAGAGCAAAAGGAAGTAGCTAAGGTCATTGAAGGAAAAGATGGAAAGCTTATCAGTTGGAGTGACATCCAAATTATGAAGTATACATGGATGGTAGCCCCAGAGCTGCTGAGGTTGAATCCTCCAGTTTTTGGCAACTTCAATTGTGCTCGGAGAGATACAATCTTTGATGGCTTTGACATCCCCAAAGGATGGAAGGTAAATTAGTTCATGTGGTTGTGATTTTTGAGTCATGTATAATAAGCTTTAAGCTGCATGTAGATGAAAGTCTAACATGTCTAGCATATAAGAATTGCAGGTGTTCTGGTTTGCAGCGGCTACACACATGGACAAGAACATTTTCAGAGATCCAGAGGTGTTTGATCCTGGAAGGTTTGAGGGTTAATCGAAACTGCTTCCTTCTTACAGTTATGTTCCATTTGGAGCAGGCACCTGGATCTGCCCTGGAGGTGAATATAAGAGAATAGAGGCGCTTTTGATAATCCATCATCTGATAATGAACTATCAGTGGACAGAACTGATTCCTGACGAGCCTATATCATGTGATCCAATGGCCTATCCAGCCATGGGCCTTCCTGTCAAGCTTCATTAAAGGAGTGATCAACTTACAAAGGATGTGTTAATATAAGCCAGAAGTTTATGCCTGGACTGCAGTGTCTTCTGAAATGCTACAATCTTTCATGCTTCAGTTAACAGCTATACTGTATCAATTAGCGACTGTACCTCATTATGAACACAACGCATAATATCGTGATAAAAGATGATCAACCTCAATCCAAAATTTTCTCTTCTCATATCAACATTGATGGTAGGAATGATACTGGATAAGCTTAATCAGGCTTACTTATGCCTATAAAGACTGAACAATTTGAGTATTTTCATTGCGAAAATCTGCTGATTGGAGGAATCTTCATACCTGCAGAAGTTAACTACCATAGCTGTTTTTACTTACCTCTGTTTTCAATATACCATGAAATTTTTTAAAAAAAGAAAAAAACTACCATAGCTTTATTTTGGTGCCACTCTTAGAGCTTTTTTGTTGTCTTAGCTAGCGTTAGATTACTTTCTTCGAACCAAATGAGGGTTTTATTATCTTCATAAACATAAACATGCAAAGGCTTTATTATATCATAGGACAAGATCCAACTTGTAGGGATACACAGGGGGGGTCAGTTGCTTCTGGTACACACATGAACATGAACATGAACATTTTTTGAAGATCCAGAGAAGTTTGGATGTCTCTCAAATCCTGTCAAGATTTAAGGTTTCGTTCAAAACCTTCCCCCCTATATTCCAACATCCCAAGAATCTATCTTGGAGCAGATTGTATCCGAATTGATAATTCATCATTTAATTACTGAAAAAATTGGTTGGAAGAAATCTTTGGCTGATAAGCCTTAAATTTCTGTGTAGATGTACTAATACACCAATGACTTCTCGTGACTATGGTATAGATGTAGTGATGTAGATGAGAAAATTTTTCAAGCAAAAACCAGTCTGACAGCATCATAAAGTAAATTTCTATGAACAATGATTCTATAGAGTATTATGATCAGTTGGTCGCTCCTCTTTTTTGTAGTTTTCTGAAGATTACTAGTGAACAAGTTATCCATTGCTTCTGCAACCTGAAGCTGGCTCAAAATGTGTAGTTACATGTCTAAACTGTAAAGGACATTAGAAACATTGAAATGTAGACCGCCCCAATGAAATTATTACTTAGTTTTTAGATGATTAATGATCAATATCCCTTCCATATCTATTGTTAACAAGATAATTTACTTGTTGTATTATCCATATATCGACACAGAAATAAAAGGCTTATCACTAAAATCTACTAGTAATGGCAGCACTTATGGTACCCATTATTGAGTAGTTTGCGTCCAACTTCTTCAAGAAATAATAATTTCTAAAAATGACAGCAACTTAAGCAGGGATCATATTGATGCCAAATAAATTCCTTTGATAAAGGATTTGAAGAATTCAATGTTAGCACAGTTTCCAAAGTGTCATTTCAAATTAATTAATTGCTTGTCCTTCGTAGTTATTGAGCAAAGACAGCTAATTACTTCCCTTGTCAATGCCGTCCAAGACAATAAGACAAAATCACATAAATTTTTAGAATATGATGACTGAAAGCCTGGTGCTTAGAAACAGTCAAGCAAGCAATAGGTGACCAGATGACTTGGTAAAGATGACTTCATAGCTTAATCATGGATGGCTAACAAACTCTATGCAGACTGCTTTTCTAACCCCAATGACGCCTTACTTCGCTTGTGGACAATATTTTCAAACTAAAACACGGTTTCTTTTGTTGGGGACATTGTACCGTACTGTTGCTCAAGCCCAGTTTAGAATGAGTTATGTGTTTATAAATTGCTATGGTTTTGGCCTTTACATCCTACTCAAAACAAGAATGGATATCCTGCCTGGCCTTCCAGAGCCTTCTTCTGACTTAAAACTACAGTTCACATCCATAGTTTTGGCAACTCTAGTTGCTGTCCTTTGCTGCTTCAAATTTATAGTCTCACCACTTCTAGGCAAGAAACTCCCACCAGGTTCATTCGGGTTCCCACTTATTGGGGAGTCTATCAGCTTTGCAAGGGCACAAACACAAGACAGGACTCCTGAATGGATTCTGAACCGGATCAAGAAGTATGGACCGGTATTCAAGACCTCCATCATGGGTGCAAAAATGGTGGTTTTGACTGGCCAAGCAGGAAATCGTTTTGTATTTAATGGTGGTGACCATGGGATTTCATGCAATCAACCAACCTCAGTGGTCAGGGTGCTCGGGAAGTACAGCCTTTTTGAGATGTCAGGGTCCCGACACAAGCTTGTCAGGGGTGCAATAACCAACTTTCTAAAACCAGAAAGCATCCAACGGTTTCTTGCCAAAATGGATTCTCTTGTCCAGAAACAATTACTCAAGGTAGGATTGGGAACTCAAAGTAGATCTTGCTCTGACACCAACTGTTTATCTGTTTATATCAATTACTTGATTGAACAAGATTCAAGCTAGTTAAAGTTCAAGCAGCTTTCATTAAGATTGTCTGTTTTCGTTCCTCTTGCTGATAAACAGGAACTTCATGGCAAGGATTCAATAAAAATTGTGCCACTAATGAAGAAGATAACATTCAATATAACCTGCAGTATATTTTTTGGATTACCTGACGGCAAGGAGAAAGATGAGCTATTGAAAGATTTTTCACTCACTGTCAAAGGAGTATGGGCAATTCCATTCAATATTCCAGGGACTGTATTTCATAGAGCAATGCAGGCGCGGCGCAGGGTCTGTAAGTTGCTTTCGAATCTGATAATGATCAGGAAAAAACAAGAAGAGGAAGGAACAGTTGATCCTAACGATGACAACATTATATCTAGCCTCCTTGTTCTGAGGGATGAAAATGGACTGCCTTTACTAGAGGAAGAAATTCTTGATGTTTTCCTTTCATTGATAATGGCTAGCCATGATACAACTGCAATTCTACTGACCCTCTTCATAAGACACCTTTCTAGGGATGCAGAGGTATCAGGAAAGGTGGTTGAAGGTATACATAAATTTCCCATTATTGTTTGAATTAGGATCTTCTGATGCATATTATATAATTTGCCTGTCAGGATTAACTTGACATGGTCCTGAACCTTTCATTTCATTGTAGAACAAAATGAAGTCGTTAAGGCCATGAACACAAATGGTGGAAAGCTCACCTGGAGTGAAATACAGATGATGAGATATACATGGAGTGCAGCTCAAGAGCTCGTGAGGGTAAATCCCCCAATGCTTGGCAGTTTTCGTCTGGTAACCAAAGACATTACATTTGATGGCTATGACATTCCCAAAGGATGGCAGGTATAGTCATATTGGTTCAAAGTAATCTTATTGACTAAGAAAGCAGGAAAAGTATTTTCATGAGATGCAAATTTTGATTACAGAGTCCTAACTCATAATTTGTACAGATATTTTGGGTGGCTCCAGGCACTCACATGGACAGCAACATATTTGAAGATCCTGAGAAGTTTGATCCATCAAGATTTGAAAACTCATCAAAATCATTCCCTCCATACACTTACGTTCCTTTCGGAGCAGGGCCTCGAATTTGCGCCGGAGTAGAATTTGCTAGAGTTGAAGCATTGCTGATAATCCATCATCTTGTAACAAAGTATAGTTGGACAGAAATGATTCCTGATGAGCCTATCACCCGCGAACCAATGCCATACCCTGCCATGGGACTTCCAGTCAAGCTTTATCCAAAGAATTGATAACCTAGAAGGCCAAATTTTAGAAACTTATATGTGGCCTGGAGATTTTAGAATGAACAGATAAAATCATGAGATACTTTGGTTTGATTATTTATTGTTTTGAGTAAAACTATTTACTGCAATCTGAGATTTTGATCCTAACCCTCTTTTTCGGATGCCTAGTACTAACTTAACCTTAACCAGTTTAGTCTGCAATCTGCATACATCAGTAATTAGGAGCTGAACAAGTCCAAAAAGCTTGGCTAGGCTACATTTTTAACACTATTTTCGATGGAAGGAAACATTTTTTAACTTACCAATCTCATTCTAAAAGACTTGAAACAAGGCTTTTTTTTTTTTTGAAGATTAAAGTCATTTTCATTAAAGCTGGGTGAAATCCCCTATATACACAAAAAGGAGGGGACCTAGCTAGGGGAACTTGGTCCAGGTGCCCTTCCTGAAGCTTGGCATGCAAAAAGGCCAACTGAAGTCAAAATGCTATACAACTACAAAATATTAATATTAGTCAGACTCAAAAATTACAGCCACCTTCAAACAGCCAAAAAGGGCGAAAGGAGAGCAAGATTGAGAAACATGACCATTTTGGATGCTTCTCTCTCTTACAAATCCAAGCACAAGCAGAACAACCCAATAAAGCTGATAGGCCCTATTATGCATAAAGGATCTGCACCCACAACTTAGCAGTAGACTTGAAACAAGGATTAACTTCTGCTATTGTAAAAGAGAACTCTGAGACTAACAATCTTACAGGAAAGGTAACTCTTAATCATTTGATCTATCTCATTCAAACTCAATTCAACACAATTCTAGTAGTTTGAAATCAGTTTTGTGGCCTTTGGCCTATGGCTTTATTGCTTAAAGAAGTAATGAAGACTTCCCTATTAAATATGCAAGGGGGGAAGGTGATTTTTGGTCTCTTAACCAATACCATTTGTTCAAGAAGTAATAAAAATGATAGCTTCTCAAGCAGGGAATGTGCCCACAATCCTGAAGATAAAGCCAAAGTTAAAACCACCGTTCGTTAAGTATAGTTTATCATAAGTTAATTGCCTGTCTTTTTTTGTAGCTTTCTGAAGATTAAGACAGCAAACTGTTACTTTTTTTAAAAAAAAGGACAGCTAACTGTTTTCATGTCTTAAGCAGGGGCTAGGACAACAGACAACATCACAAGCAGCCTGTCATTACAATACCAGATGACTTGGTAGCTTAAGTCTTGATAACTGACAGGCAGGTTGATGCATATAATGGTCGGTAGCCACCTAGAGAAAGACACTTATTCCAACTACCTAACCTTGGTTCGATTTCGATTCCGAAACTAATTTCATTAACTTGGGAAGCAAGAAAATTAGTTCCAGGGTAACATGGGGTGCAAATTTTATGTACAAGTCCTAATTTGCAATGTTTGTTCAAATATTTTGGGTGGCTGTAGGCACTCACAAGGACAACAAGTCTAGCCTTATATTACTTGAACTTGAGGGTGAGTGTTGGATACTATTATGCATCTACTATTGGTTTGTTCAATTCTTTACATGTTAGATTGGAAGCAATGTTCAAACTATACTTGGGAAAACTTAAGTTTAAGGCTTTTGTACTTATTAAATGAATCAACAAGTTTCGGGTTTTTGAAAGATCTTGAGAAGTTCTATTTTATATTACCCAAAACTTCAGAATGAGTGTTGCATACGGATATGTTTCATTAAAAGAGATTTAATTTTTTTTTAATTTTTTTATATATTCAAGAAATTAAATCATCATAGTTATATCCGTTGATTATGTATTGAATAAAAATATTTTTAGAAATATAAAAAGTCAAAACAACATAGGTTCCATCGATCATTATTTGAGAAACTCATGGAAATCATTGCCTCCTTGTACTAGTGTTCCTAGGAGGGTCTTGAATTTGTATTGTAGGGGGAATTAGCTAGACTTGAAACATTGCTTGATCATAATCCATCATCTTGTAACAGCGATAGGGTTGGAAAGAAACAATTCCATATCCTTCCTGCCATGGAGCTTGAACTTAAGTTTTACCAAACCAAAAATGAGAACCTAAGTTTAAAGCTACAAGTCTTGTCAATGATGATCCACAATCAATACATGTCATTGATGATGTGATTCATTCAAAATTAAATCCCATAACAGTTCTCTCTTGATAGTTTCACGTGAAAAATTTAATTACTTCTTTTGACTTACATCACTCTCTTGTTGATATGTCCATGTGACACTATTTGACAGTCCCATTGAGACTTCTCTTTACATAAAGTTATAGATGTTCATGGAGTGTTACATTTTAAGCCCACTCATCAATTTGCCAAGAATAGCCCCAACTCAATGTCAATCCGTCCATTAACCAAAAACAAAACTATAGTAATTAAATAAAATATTTAATATAAAAAAATCCTTGAACAATATGTATTTTGTAATTAAATTCATATATTTTTATTATACTCAATTAAATCTTTTTTAATTTATATTTTTTATCTAATTGAATTCTTATCTCATAACAAAAATATAACCACGATATTCTTAACTACAATTGTCACTTCTTGTACGTGTGAGATCTAACATCACATATTGATCTATAAGCTTTATTATGATTCCGTGTGTACAACAACTAACAACTGTCATTAAGCATAATTTATTATATTTCAATTATAAGATAAGGATTCAATTGTGTAAAATAATATGATAAGGGTTAAATTGAATATGATAAAAATGTAAGAGTTTAATTGTAAAAATACATGTAGTTGAGAGATTTTTTTATTATTATTTTATCTAAATAAAACACATTTTACATGCTATTTTTTTGGAAAAAGAAAGTGGGAAAGGTTTGCTGACGTGGAAGTCATGTGGCGAACGTTTAAAAAAACGGTTGGCGAGAGGGCGGAGCGTGTGCCCGCGTACACTCTGCATGCACTATAGTCGTGCGACCACGTGCCCTTTCCCGCGCCATCCAACCTGTCGCATTCCCGCTCTCTCCACCGTCCGATCAAACCTCAACGGCCCTGATTCCCCGACAGCCAGACACGACCGGTCCTCGTGGAAGAACATTTCAATCACAGCAAAGACCTGCTTCTCCTGCCCCACCTCATCTCCCACGGCACTCAGGTAGGCTGTCCCCTGCATTCCGCATCAGTTGCAACCCTCTAAAATCAACCAATAGAAAATCAAACTAATCTAATTACAATAAAAAAAGAGCTCTTTTCAAAAATACCACTAATATATAAGGTATTTTTGAAAATAATTCTTTTAATAATTTTAATTATTTTTAACTAAAAAAAATTAATTTTGAATAAAATTATTTTTAATAAAATTGATACATATGTTTAAGTTCACGTCTCAAACCGACTCATATTGTTTGAGTTTTTCTTGCCAAATCATTTATCTCTAGAATATTTCTTATCAAAAATTTTTTTTGAGCATTTTGAAATAATTTTTATACACAAAGAAAAACTTTTTAATGTTTTAAGCATTTTTAAGTATTTTTAGAGTGATTTTTAATATATAAAAAAATCTTTGAGCATTTTGACAATTTTTTATCAAGTAAACATTTTCGTTGATTATATTATTAAATGAAATATGGTGTTTCATTTGAAGTTGTTAATTTTATTAAATAAAATTCAGTAATTTTCGTAACTTTTAGACGTTGCATAGCTAGTTTTTAAACATTATATCACTAGTTTTTAAGTATTACGTTACTAATTTTTAAATATTATGTTCTTGATTTTTAGATATAATGTGATTGGTTGATATTATATTGCATGACTGTAAGCATTGTGTAACTTAAGTATTATCTAAAAATTAATTACACATTGTTTAAAAATCAGTTTCGTAATACCTGAAATTAATCGCTTAATATCTAAAAAATTAGAAACACAATGATTAAATCATGTAATATCTAAAATCAGTTTTGCAATACTTAAAAATCAATAATGTAATACTTAAAAACTAGTAATGTAACTTAATAACTAATTGATTTGCTTGCTCGTAACTAGGTTTAAGTTGTTAAAGTTATACAGTTTTTTAATTTATAAATATGTCTAATCAATTTCAATTCCTTAATTTTGAGGTTCTATGAATAAATCAATAAACTCAAAAATCTAAAACATATACCTTAATATCATTTTTACTTTTTGGAATGACGAGAAAGAGCTGGATGGTGAGATATACAAAAAAAGAAAGAAAAAAAAATCGAAATTATTTTAATTTGTTTAAAATTATTTAAAATGTATTATTGTCAAATTATGTAAAAAATTAACTAAAAATAATTAAAATTATAATAAAAAATATTTTTAAATTAAACTTATAAAGATAGTTATTTCTCATAATTTTCTTGTAAAAAAATTCATATGCAAATAATCTTTTAATCCTGATAAATTAAAAGGTGAGAATCTTAGGCCAATGAACAAAAGGTTGCACGAAGATCTCGTGAGGTTTGTATGTAGAGGATAAGAAGGGTTGGAATTTCCTGGAAGTGACGTGTGTGTCAGAAGCCAAAAAGCATCACCCATCACCCGGGTCTTGATCACGTTGAATCCGACGAGGAAAAGGAAAAGCTACAATATAAGAGCATCATTCATCCAATCTTGACTCTCCCAAGAAACCAGAAAGATCAATCAAATACGCAATCCAATCTCTTCTTCCCTTCAAAGCAAACCCTGTTCATCTTTTTGTTTCCTGGCAAACGAGAATCTCTCTGTGTGTCTCTTCCAGGAACAGAAAGACAGCAATGACGGTGGCGGGTAGCAGTGTTGGTCGTGGTGGAAGCGTTTGTCTTCAACGTCAGGATCATCCCTGGGATATTTCATTTAACGTTCGGAATGGCTGTCGTCGTGCATGCTCTTTGATGGCGTCGAAACCTAGAACGACCAAGATCTTGGCATCGTCGTCCAATGTGAGTCTGCAACCATTGCCGAAGAAGCGGCAGGAAGAGAGGAAGCGGGACGAGTTGTTGTACGAGAAGATCGACGAGTGGATGCAGGATTCGGTGGTGGAGATCGTTAAGAAGTTACCCGAATCTCCCCTCTTGGTGCACGTGTATTCCGACGACAACACGAC